CTGTTTCATGTGCTGACAAGGTATGAGCCCCCTGCTGCTGCAGCAGCAGCAGCAGCAGCAGCAAAGTTTTCTACAGCAGCCCCTGGGAGCAGCGGGAGTGCGAAGGAGAAGGAAGCTGCAGCTCTGGGGTCTCGTCTCCTTCTTCAGCGCATGCAGCAGCAGCAGCAGCAGCAGCAGCAACACCAGGAGCAGCAAGAGTTGGAGCAGCAGGTGCAGAGGCAAAGGGGGAGAGGGGCGTAGGAGCAGCAGAAGCAGCAGCAGCAGCAGCAGAGTGCAGCAGCAAACTGCTGCAGCAGTTTCCTGTATTAGAAGAGCAGTGGGCAGAGCTCGGTGATTTATTTTTGTGGCTGTTGGCTGCGCGCGTTTATTCTCTGCTACTCTTAGCTGCACCTCGTGAGTATCCTGCTGCTGCTGCTGCTGCTGCTGCTGGTGATGCTGATGCTGCTGCTGCTGATGCTGCTGCTGATGGTACTGCTGATGCTGATGGTGGTGGTGCTGCTGCTGGTGATGCTGATGCTGCTGCTGCTGATGCTGCTGCTGATGGTACTGCTGATGCTGATGGTGCTGCTGATGCTGATGGTGCTGCTGCTGCTGCTGATGCTGATGGTGCTGCTGCTGCTGCTGGTGATGCTGCTGCTATTCTTGATGCTGCTGCTGCTGTTGCTTCTGGTATTGTTGCTGCTGCTGCTGCTGTTCGAGTGTGTTGCTGTTGCTGCTTCCGAAGTTGCTGCTGCTGCTGAGGTTGCTGCAGCTGCTGAAGGTACTGCTGCTGCTCAAGTTGCTGCTGCTGCTGCTGCTGCTGCTGCTGCCTCGTTTGCTGCAGAGTGTGTGAGGCGCATATGGGCGCGGTGTACGGACGCTGGGGCTCGGCAGCAGCTGGAGACATTTACAGAGAGGCTTATTACTCCTTGGTTTGTCTCTTGCTGCTGTTGCTGCTGCTGTTGCTGCTGCTGTTGCTGTTGCTGCTGCTACGGATGCTATTGATACTGCTGCGGATGCACTGCTGCGAGCGACGTAGCAGCTGCTGCTGCGGATTTGCCGTTGATGCTGCTGCTGCGGGTTTGCTGCTGCTGCTGCTTCTGATGGGTGCTGTTTCAGCAGCACCAGCACAAGCATCAGCAGTAGCAGCAGCAACATTCTTAGCAGCAGGAGCAGCAAGAGCAGCTGTAGCAGCTGCTGCTGCTGTCTGATATTCGGCTTGCTGAATGATTTATGATAGTTAGCAGCATCAGACGCGTATTGTTTATTTGCTGCTGCTGCTGCTGCTGCTGCTGTTGCTGTTTGCTTCAGGTTTATGGAACTTGAATACTGCCGCTGTGCTGCTCTTTGCTGCTGCCCCGGTGTTGCTGCTGTCTCCTTTGAGCGGAGGCTGCGGCGGTTGGTGCTGCAGTTAAGAGACGAAAAAGTTCTCTGCCTTCTTAAAGCTGCTGTTGAATTTGCTGCTGCTTTTCCGTTAAGGCGACCCAAACTAGTCGTGCTAGAAAATGCAGAAAGCGGTACTTAACTTGCTGCTGCTGCTGCTGCTGCTGCTGTTGCTGCTGCTGCTGTTGCTGCTGCTGTTGTTGCCGCTGCTGCTGTTGCTGCTGCTGTTGCTGCTGCTGTTGTTGTTGGTGCTAGTGCTGTTGCTGCTGCTGCTGTTGTTGGTGCTAGTGCTGTTGCTGGTGTTGCTGCTGGTGTTGCTGCCGCTGCTGCTACTGTTGTTGCTGCTGCTGTTGTGGTTGTTGCTCCTGCTGCTACTTTTTTTGCTCTTTCTTCTTCCTCTTCTGCTTCTGCTGCTGCTGCTGCTGCTGCTGCTGCTGCTGCTGTTCGTTGCCTGGGCATTAAGTAAAGAAAGCCTATGGTTGCCTGCGTGTGAAGTGAAAGCAGAGTAAATAGGTACTGTATATAATTTATATAATTTAACAGTATATTTATTTGTTTGTCTTTGTTTGTTTGTTTGTTTTTAGGTTTAACTCGCGCTCGTTTGAACGGGTGGTGCTTATCTAGCTCTGCATTGATCGGGCGTAAGAATGTGTTTGCAGGTTTATATTTATTTTCATCGAACTTCTCTGTCTTCTTTGAAGGACATGAAGACTGTCCTATATGTTTATCTGTGCTCCAGCCTCAGCACCGAACACTGCCTAAAAAGAAATGCATTACTTGTAAATATAAATATCACTCGGAGTGTATATACAGGTGGTTTAAAACTTCAGGAAAGGGTAATTGCCCGCTATGCCAATCACCTCTTTAATGTACAACTCTACTACTCGACTCCTGCTGCAGTTCCTGCTGCTGCTGCTGCTGCTGTAGCTGCTGCAGCTGCTGCTGCTGCTGCTGTAGCTACTGCAGCTGCTGCTGCTGCTGCTGTAGCTGCTGCAGCTGCTGCTGCTGCTGTAGCTGCTGCAGCTGCTGCTGCTGTAGCTGCTGCTGCTGCTGCTGTAGCTGCTGTAGCTGCTGTAGCTGCTGCTGCAGCTGCTGGAGATGTGCATTTTGTTTAGAGTGATTTTTTTAGCTGCGTTATTCCGTTGTTTTTTGTTTGGTGGGGTCAGGCTGCTGATGCTGCTGCTGCTATAAACATAGCAGCAGCAGCAGCATCAAACTAACATGTTCAAACATAAGCAGCAGCAGCTGCTGCTGCTTAAACAGTTGCTGAAGTTAATTATTTGAAGCAATTGTAACGGTTTGCTGCTGCAGCTGTAAAGTAAGGAACAAACGCTAAATAATTTTGCGTGCACGCTGGGCTGTACATACACCGCAGCTAGAGAGAGAAGAAACATTATTGCTTTTAAACAGCAAACCTAATAACACACCATTAACAAGCAAACAAACCAATAAAAAGAAAGAAATTACTGCTCCTGCAGCAAGCCCTAAACCCTAAATCAACAACTTTCAAGGTGTATGTACAACTCATGCTGGTGTAAACAGATACAACAATGAGGCTTCTTGCTACTCAGTTTTTTCTTCACATTTGTACTCCTCTCTTAGATTACCCTCTATTCTTTTTGAAACCTTGTTAGAGGAAAAGGCTCACTTCAATTCAGAGAGGTATATATATATATATGTATATATATATATATACATATAATATATATATATATATATATATATATTATATGTATTACATATATACTGTATGGATTATTTACATATACACACATCTTATGAATGTGCATTATGTATGTGCTGTGTAGCATATATATATATATA